TAACAATAGTCCACAGTTACTGACTCCAAACAGTTAGACTACCATCCCTTTCTGTGCCACGCACACCTGTCACTGCATCTCGTGCAAAACTGCCCTCGCTAAAAAAATAAGGTATTGGATTGCACTAGCAATCCAATCCTGTGGTGCCAGATCAAAATTGTATCGGATCAGGATTGGGATTGCATTGCAATCCTGATCCAACACCCAAAAGCTGCGGGCTGTGTGCCTCATGCTTTGGTATAATTCAGAGGGTATTTGATCCAATCCCCAGATTGGTATTTATTGGGGATCAGATCAAAAATAGACCCAATACCGGGTATTGGGATCGGATTGATCCACCCAATCCCAGTTTTCCAATAAATTGGGATTGGATCAGAGATTGATCCAATCCCAATACCCAGTATTGGGTCTATTTTTGATATGATCCCTGATAGATACCAATCCAGGGATTGGATTGATTACATTGTTGCTATAAATCGTAATTTTCATGATATTACAACCAGACATACATATGCTACATAATTCATTATCTTGTATCAAGTCCAGAAGATTAAAAAATAGTATTTTTACACATAATTTGGTTATATAATATACGGTACTACATAGCTACAACATACTACATATCACACATCTCAAGATACAAATAAGTCTTTCCACAGTTCTTTCTTTCTATGATAATATTCTTTCAGTAAAAACACTATTTATTTCATCTCAGATATCACTTAGTTCAGACTACATATAATATTTCATCCCAGATATTGTTATTTCATCTCACTCATTGTCCTCTTCATTTCATACATCATTTACTTCATACTACAATTATTTCATACTACAATTATTTCATACTACAATTATTTCATAGTAAATTCATTTCATACTACATTTAATTTATTCTACATTTATTTCATACTACATTTATTTCATATTTACATCTCATTTAAAATCATTACACATTGCTTATATCACCTACATACATATTTCACCACACAGATGGCTTATTTCACTTCAGAATATTTATTTCAGTTCTTATTATCTCATTTTTTCACTACATATTACTTTTATCACAAACATAAATTATTTCATATTATATCTTTTTCAACAATACTCATTTCACACTACACATTTTTCAGCCAGGTTTATTTCATAATCACTTGTCTTTTGGATACAACTTATTTCATACCATATTCTCATTTCAGCTGATATCTTACCACTAGCACCTGATCAGAACCACCCACATGTATGTAGAGAATGCACTTTCCCACTTAATTTGATCCCCATGCTTGCATTAGAGAATTAAACAGATAATTACTTAGCAGACATCACTTACTAGTAATTACACCATGGGGCGGGTTTTTAGAAAAACCCCCCAGCAAACGGATGGATTCCGTCCCGAGCGCCCGCAACTTGGTTGCGAAGCATCCAACGGACGCTTGGGCGGCCCGGGCATCGTTTGGACGCTTCAGAAAGCGTCCAAGGGATGCTCGGCAGGCGAGACCATCCAGAGGATGGTGTACAGCCCGGTGTCCATCGGACACTTGATTGGGAGTGTCCAATGGACAACAAGAAAACCATCAATCGGACACTTCTCAGAGTGTCCGATTGATGGTTTTCACCCGGGTCCGGCAGTGGAAAAAAAAGGGTCGATTGTCAAAAAATGGTCTCAAGAGGTGGTCGATGGTCGAAAAACGATCCAAAAATGCAGCGCGGGGTATGTAGTTGACTCTTTGACTGGCGGAGTATCAAGAATCTAGTATAGTCAAGTGGCAAGGTACTGCCTCTGTGAAGTCACTGGTGGAAGCACCTGTAGGTCATGGGTTCAAACCCAAGGCCTGGCATTTTTTGGCCCCAAGGGCTTCTAATCCTACCATCCGATGGATGGTTTGGCCCTACCATCCGGGTTCAGCAATATGCAAGTCGCATCCAATGGATGCTCCTTGCAGGGCCAAGGTCGGATGGCATCTGGTACATCCGATTGGGTGTCAAAATGCCATCCACCACGCCCGGTGGTGTACCAGAAGTCATTATTATTGATTTTCCCCCAGAAAGATAAGACATTGAACCCAGAAACCATTATCCCCCAGAGACTCATCCTTACCAAAATCCCCCACATCCTCAATCTCTCAGCAGGTGCCTTGTACAAGACATCAGTAATTAATCTCATACTAATATTACCCACAGAAATAGCCACACCTTTTCTTCAATTCTTAGTGTAGCTCTCCCCCAAGCCTTGACACGAGGGCAGCTTCTTTTTGGACTTTATAATCCTAAGTTATAGCTCAAATTTGGAAAACTTCCATTTTGTATCCCAAGAAACACCAACAAAGGGTCCCAATTCTCTATGAAGCGCCCACAAGTTGACCACAAGCTCCCAGATACCTCCACAGTTATATCAAGTCCCTCTGTCCACCCAAAAATAGATTCCTCAAATTTCTAGCAACCCAATTTAGATTACCCACTGTTGCAACTGCTGAAAATTTGTATCTGTATGATAATGTATTATCTCTTGCTTTAATCCTCTAATCTATCAATCAAAACCTCAAGACTTAAGGGACATTGTTAGTACATAATTCCCCCTTCTTTCTTGAGATTTTCACTACTTTATTCTGGGATTTAAACCACACCTATTCACAGGCCCTAGGATTATCAGGTACCTAAATCCTCTGCTTTTGCAAGATACCTTTGATGGATTAAACAACCCCTGATTCACCAGGCCCCTCTATTTAAATTATATTGATATTTATTGATATAATTAATCATTTCTACTATCTCATAACCTTGTAATTACCAATCAATGTTGGAATTATCCTCCGGACTTCAGTCCCAGAGCTCAAACTCTATCATCTTAAGTTTTGCACCACATGTAGTTAGAAGCAATACTACCTTGGCATTACGATGACTGAAAGTGGTTGACATGCAGGATACTCCACTATCAACTCTGTCTAAACCACTGGGTAGTCCAGAACAATGTCTTCTGCACAGTTACTATGCATCAAAGCTTGACCAAAGTAAGCCTCTGTTTGGCATCAACATATTGCAAATTCTTTTGACATCTGATGAGTTTGATGAACCTTATCAGATGTGCAATGGAGGTCAAGAAAAAATAAGCAAGTGTTTCTTGGATTATTTTACTGCCAAGCAAGGCCCAAGCACTCATTAAGTTTTTTGTGAAAACTTTATGAATTTTATTATTAAAAAGCAAAACCAGACTAGAAATGGTCGCGGATAATCCGCCGCGGATATCCGCTATCCGCTGGCGGATACCCGCCAGTGCCAGCGGATACCCGCCAGCGGGTGCGGATTCGGGTGCGGATGCACCCTTCCCCCTGAAATACTGGCGGGTATCCGGGTATCCCAAGGGATACCCGGTGCCAAGAGGCCACACCGCCGGGAGGAATCCCTCCCGGCAAGCTGGTTTTTAAACCAGCTCGTCGGGAGGGGTTCCTCCCGACGAGCTGGTCTGTGTACCAGCTCGTTGGGAGGGGTTCCTCCTGGCGAGCTGGTTTAAACCAGCGCGTCGGGAGGGATTCCTCCCGGCGGGGTGGCCTCTTGGCACCGGGTATGCCTTGGGATACCCGGATACCCGCGAGTATTTCAGGGGGAAGGGTGCATC